GAATCATTAGCCTGGGTTCATCCAGAGAGCAATGCCTCTTCTGTGTAGAATTTCTACAAAATTAATCTTTTTTTGTGTTTCTTGTCTGCAGATTTATAGGCCATTAAGGTGAGTTTGCTGCGTTTGAACATACAGGGAAACACTTATGACTTCAAGAAACTTATAAAGCTTTTCTCTGATCACAGAGAAACTTCTACTTAGTGCAGTTAGGAATTAGATATGGTCTCAAAGTAAATAATAAGCAAGTAATACCATTTCAGAATTAGATACACAAGAATGTCTGGTGTTTCTGTTGTGTTTTGTTTTTGCCACATGTTGGTTATGAGGATAAAGAAAACAGTAAATGTATTCACCTCTCTGCTAGTTTTCTCTGTAGGAGGGAAAAAAGATACTGTAATGAAAAATACAGACTTGTGAGCAACACAGGTGATTTCCTGTCTTATTTTCTAATACATAAATGCATTTGTGAATGTGTTCTGCGTAAATATGGCCTTCTTCATCTAGTTTTTGAATGCTCATTGGAATGATGCAGCTGTTTTCTTCTATTTCATTTTCCTCCACTTAATAGACTTCAGAATAAGGTACTTTAATATGAATTATGTTTGCGGTGCTTCTTTTATAAAGCTAGGGCTAGATTCCAGTGAGAAGAAACATTTTCCCATAGTGTGTTCATCAGTGGTTCATTGCAGACAAAAGAATTCACTCCAGTCATTTTAAAAAGAAAGAAAATTATTGCAGGGATTTAAAGATATTTCAGATTAACTAAAAGTATGCAAGAGCAGCGAAAAGTGAGTTTCCAGAGCCTTTGGACTGTAGGGTCTCCAGCATGGCTGCTGTGGAGCAACCAAAGAACCTCTGTCACTATTCTTTCAGAATAGGCTCACGGTGGTGCATTATGTTCTTTCACATTCAGAGTCACAGTGTGTTTGTTATCAGAAGTCAGTCCATTTGCAGATGTGGTAGCTGCAAGGAATTCTGGGACATGTAGTTTTCAATCTTCTACCCTCTAGTATAGTAGAAAGTCATAGTAGGGGGCCTGGAATAGCCGTGACTGGGCGCCTCCGTATCTGCCATAAAGAGCAGATATTTTATTTTGGGGAGAAGGTTAAAATGATTGCTTTCCCGTAGTATTTTAGAGATGGCAGCTTTTCTGAAGGAAGGTGCTCCCTTTTGTTAACCATGGACTCACTTTTTAGTTTAGTCTCTAGAACTTTTTTCTTACCTTTCTTTTAATTGGAGTTGGGAACCCAAACAGCTCAAATATCTTGTACTTCATGCATTAGTGCATCCATTTGTTTCAGGGTATACAGCTTGGAAATGCTTGGTTTTGTATTTCTGATCAAAGCAGAGTTTGTTGTTTATATATTTACCTAACAAACATGTACATTGTATGTAATAAATGTCAGGCACCATTCTAATTTATTCCTATAATTATAGCATGAAATACTTCCTCTATTTTAATAGTATTGCATTTTGTCAGTGTCTCTAGAGTGAGTAATTGATACATCAGAGAGTAGGCCTTGAGTTGGTGACGATAATATGTGGATCAGACCATCTACCAAATGCTCCATGAATTCATGTTCTCTCTGTTTATAAAGGCATCTAAGGTTAGGTACCAGGTCCTCTGCCTTTTGTATCTCTTCTTCCACTTTCTCAAAAGACTGCATTTATACTGGGTTCTTAAAAATGATTTGTCCCATTGTGTAGCCATTCAACCTTTCCACAAGCTTTTGTGGGCATCTAGTATACGCTTGTTGATTGGGAGAGACAATGCTAAGAATATACGTAGATCATCCATCAGCTTCAGAGGGTTCGTCCTTACTCAGGAATGGTGTGTCTGGGTGGGCTGAGCGAGTAGGAATTTTTTAGGTTTATAAGCTGTCAGCTGTAGGGAGGTGTAATTGGTCAGGGTGATCCATCCTTGCTTTACAAAATATCCCCAGACCAGCGGCTGCAGATCACCTGTGTTAGAAATACAGAATCCCAGGCTCCACCCAGGCTCCCGAGATCAGAATCTGCATTTTTATGAGATGGGCAGGTGACCTGTGTGGATCTGGAAGTGAGGGAAGTGCTGATACCGGAGGCTGCGTGTGGTGACTTTCCTTTGGAGCGCAGCCTCCGTTCCTCCCATGGAGGCTTCTGATGGGCAAGGCTTTGTCCACAGTTGGTGTCTGGCCATCTGTCCCCTTACAGCCCTGAGAAAGAGGCCGCTCACTAAGAACTGTGGGTCTAGAAAGGAAATAGGGAAAGGAATGGAGCATGAAAAAGTTGTTCTTGAGGCTTTTCTGACTTGAGATGTGTAATTCAGCTCTGGGTATGGAAGCAGTGACTGGATTTGTTACCCAAATTGTTAAGTGCTGGTTACTGACCATCTTGTTCTGTTCTGGCCTCAGCTTTTCTGTCTGGTCATTTTTTAAAGGTAATTATTGTCAGTGAAGGTGGTGGACATGAGGTATATATCTTTGCTTCTTTTAAAGAAATAGTGGTGAAAGACGGTGTAACTGTTGTTGATGGATGTGCCAGCCCTGGATTCTAAGTAGTCCTGGGCTTTTTAGTAGAATAGGAAGAGTTTGGGTTCTTAAGTGGTGTTGTGTCACTTTTGCCTATAAACAAACTTGGAAATGTTTTGAGACAAGGATAAGATTAGGATCATGAATTCTAAACATATTTATTAGTGTTCAAAAATATATTTACGAAGATAAAATATTGGGGTCTTTTAGATGTTTTCCAGTGCTTGGGACAGCCCTGCATGTGCTGTTGTAGTAAGTGCTGCCCACTGAGCTACATTCCAAGCCCACTGGGGTCTTTTGGAAGGAGTTGTTAAAAACTTTAACTTGGGCTTTTAGTGTCTTTCTGCTTATATTTCTTTCACAAGAGTGATGTTTTCTAGCATAGCGTCACCAGATGACCTTCACGTGACCTTATCCAAGTAATTGACCCTCCACTAATTTGGAAATTTAGATGCACGGAAATAGCTCTGACCAGGGACTAAGAGTGAGGTTAAGATTCAAGTTCTCAGTGCTGCTACCTGGCTGTGTGTGGGAGGCATGTCCTACACACCTCTACATGGAAAGAATTTAACCAGATCTGGGGTCTTCAGCAGTGGGCAAGGGCTCTATGAGGAATTTTTATGTGTATCAGGATCTTGTGGCATAGGGAGCTTGTGTTATTTGGGAATGCATGGTATTGTATTTCTTTATTTGAAAAAAACAGTCTTGTTTTTATTTTATTTTATTTTTTGTGGTTCTGGGGAACCCAGAGCCTTCTGCATGCAAAGTAAGACTCCTACCGGTGAGCACATCCCAGCCCATGTTTTAAAGCAAGTGGCCAACATAAAAGGACTTTTATTCTTGTCTGGGTGTTAATAAAGGATGGAGAGCACATGGGACTAGCTCTTAGTGGCAGGTGACATTTCTTTATGAATGCTATGTGCTGGGCACTGACTAGACTTTTGGTATATATATTTCTTAGTTCAGAAATTCCAATAAGTATTCTTGTCATATGAACAGGACAAAAAGGTTATATGTGATACTCAAGGTCATCATAGGTGCTATGTGGGTAGATGTGGGGTCAAACCCAGGCCAAGTCTAGGATTTGCTCCCTCTGCATTCATAATCTGGTGTGTGTGTGTGTTAATTTTTTTTTTTCTTTTTTTTTGGTTTTTGGTTTTTCTCCGGTACCGGGAATTGAACTCACGACCTTGTGCTTGCAAGGCAGGCGCTTTGCCGCTGAGCTAAATCCCCAGCCCTCTGGTGTGTGTGTGTGTGTGTGTGTATGTGTGTGTGTGTTCCTACAGCTCCTCTATAAAACAGGTGTTTTATATGTGTAAATGGTATTATTCTCAGGTGTAAAATGTGAAATCACATTTCCCACAGATCCAATGAAGTGAGTCTCGGAGTTTTCTGTGTGGAGACTGGAGGAGTGGTCACTATCAGTAGCTATCACTGGAGGAGGGTTCTTTCCTCATCTACACTGTTTAGCTTCAAAATTCCAGCTCGGTCAGGGCCTCGGTCATGGTTATGGTTGTGGCGAGATGCTGGCTGGCCAAGGCTTCATTGCCCGCTGTGAGTGGCTCATTCTCTTCATGCTCATCTTGGCTGCTGTGATCTTCTTGGACCATCTTTGGGTGCTTGTCCCCAGGCACCCTAGCATGTACTCTTGCCTGAAATTTTCACCTTCCCCTGCAGGGTGCCTCAGAGACAGGAACTGTGGTACAGAGCAGACACGGAGCACACAGCTTCCCCAGGGAAGGGAAATGTACTTACTTTTTCATTGCAATTTTGTGTAAAGTTAGTTAGTTTCCATATCCAGTTATTCTCTTACCTATAAATGACAGCAAGATTGAACATGACTGAATCAGGTGTGGTGGCATATACCTGTGATCCCGGCACTCAGGAGGCTGAGGCAGGAGGAGTGCCATGAGTTTGAGGCCAGACAGGACTACATAGTGAGTTCCAGGCCAGCCAACTACATAATGAGAGCCTGTCTTTCTCTTAAAAAAAAAATAAATAAATAAATAAAATAAACCAATAAGCAACAACAATGAAAAGATTTAACACAACTGACTTTAAGTAATTTTATTAGTGTCTGATTTCCATTTCTCTTGTTAAGGAAAGCACTTTGGTGTCTAAGCTGGGATAGCCTCAGTTCATTACTTGTACTAGTTCTGTGACCTTGGGTAAATGGATTGGAGTCCTTAAGCTTCTGTTTCACCTGGAGCCAATAATAGTTTTTACCCCAGGTCATCACTTTTAGCAAAGAGGCTGAATTATAAAGAAAGTATGATATGCAGTCAGGGAAAAGTGCTGAGGCCAGCCAAGCCGAAGAGTTTGGGGTGGGTGGGATGTTGGGGTGGAAAGGCTAGAAGTGGGTAAATGCTGTTTGACAAGATTAGGATTCACATTGGCCTTGCTGGTTGTGGTTTTCCCTGGAGCTTGTGTGTTGACTCAGGCAAGTGTAAGATCCCTCTGATAATACTGACTTCCGTTTGGCCTGTGTAGGACCCAACAGACTTCGAGTGGAGCTTCTGGATGGAATGGGGAAAGCAGAGGCTGGCGTGGCTGCTGCTTGGCCACGTGGCGGTGTCTCAGGCCGCCGCGCTGCTGGTGAGGAAGGTATGGCTGTGTGTGTTACTTCCTTCTAAGCCTCTTTTTTCCTTTGCCTTTCCTAAAGAAAGTGTTCCTGAGGCAGGAATTAGAAGACATGAGTTACTGTCCTTGGGAACCACACAATTTGGTGATGATCAATATGACATTTAAGATAAGAATGTCTTACATTCTCACCCTGGGTTTACTTCCTCTGAGTTTATTGCAAAACTATTAAATAGGAAGGTTTTAGAGTAATTTCACTTCAGATGGTATCTCGAAGATCATTCCCGATTAAATGATTCTATAAACAGTTGCCCATTGAGGAGAATCTGTGTGGTTTCCCTTACAAATTCAGAAGGAAGTAATTTCATTAAGATGTGGGAAAATTTTAATGTCTAGTAATGTGTGCTATTATGGATGTTTTAGACCAGAATTCAGTTAGGTTTTTGCTCTCGCCTTGGCGTGGAATGGAGAGCAAGGAATTCTTCAAAGTGAATATTTGAACAGTGACTTCATAGAGGCAGAATTGCCACCCTTTTCATAGGGTTAGCTACTGCGGGGCACAGATGCCACTGGAGGGATTGCTCTGTCCTCTAGGGACTTGGCTTTTGCCCAGCATCCTCCAAATGATGCATCTTGCCTGCTGGCAATGCTTGCTGGAAGAAAGAGTCTGTGCTTGGAAATTCACTGAGTAAAAACAAAACACAACCAAACTGACTTGGAAGTCAGCCCCTGAGACCATCCAGGTGAAACTGAAGGACTGGAGAAGCAGCGGCCCCTGTGGGGAGGGAGAAGGTGAGACTGGGGAGCTGGAGGCCCCTGGTGGAGGCATGCACCCAGCTTAGGCCAGTTTCTTGCTCTTTCCCCAGAATCGGCAATTTCTGGGCTGACTTCTCATCCTGGAGGATAGTGAGTCCGAATTTCATACTAACTTGCTTTTAAATATAGTATTGATTACTTGTTTGTATTCAAGTGGTTGTTTCCATCTTTTGAAACAGCAAAAACTAAAATATTTGATGCTGTCAAACCTGTATATATTTAAAAATTTCATGTAACTTTCAGAGCAGACCTAATAAATAATACATTTTTGTTTCTAAGCTGGTAATGGGTGTATCTACCTCAGCTCTCATGAACACTTTCTTTTCTTCTACAAAGTTTTCTTCAGTTTTTTTCCAAGATTTTAAAATTTTCTAATTTAACATTTTTATTTCTAACACAAAGCTTCTTTGCTCACAGGTAAATGTCAGGTAAGTCTCAATTTTCCTATATGTAAAGAAATAGTTTAACACCTCCCTCTTACCTCTTTGAGGGGCAGATGAAATGCTTTGTCCTGTGTTACGACGTCAACTCTTGCTACCATAACCGTGGTGAAGAGCAGCTCTGTGGTGGAAGAGTGCTGGAGACACAGTATCATGTTTGGCTCTTGCTTTTGTCATTGATTAGCTTTCTAATATTAGGAAAGCTTTTCCCATTGACTCTTAGTTTATCATCCATAAAAGAGGCTTGATATGAAAGATATTTTCCCCATAAAATATGATGAACTTCATTTATTGGAAATTTCATGATAGTAAAAATGCAGCAAAACTGGGACATAGAGATAGCAGAAATAAAAATGTTTTGGTAGTCACAACCAGTGTAAATGGATTCTCAAAAAAAGATGAAAATTAAACTGGGTATAGTGGTCACACCTATAATCCCAGGACTTTGGAACGCAAAAGCAGGAAGATGGCAAGTTCCAGTCAAAAACTTACTGAGATTCTCTCTCACAATAAAAAATGAAAAGGGCTAGGGCTATAATGCAGTGCAAAGGGCCTGGGTTCAATCCCTAGTACCATAAACAAAACATGAACATTGTTAGACTACATTTTACTTTATTTTTTTGAGACAGGGCCTTGCTATATAGTTCAGGCTGGCCTTGAATTCACAGTGTAGCCTGGGCTGGCCTCGAACTTATGGAGATCCTCCTGCCTCAGCCTTCCTAATGCTGAGATTACAGGTGTGTACCACCAAGCCTGGCTTAGACTAGATTTTTTAAAACAACAGAAATTAAGTAAAGCAAAACAAAATCCAGAGATGTGCTTTTTAGCTTGATATACTTAAAACAGAAGGAAGAAAGTTTGAAAATAAAAGATGGAAAAGATATTCCAGAAAATATAAATTCCTTCTCTCAGTAAGATACTGCTACAGTTTTATTAATATCTGACAAAGAATATTACTAATTATAAAGAGGGTTATTGTTTAGTAAAGAGTTTGTTACTAGGAAGAGGATTACAATTCTAAATTTTTTTGTTTCAAAATATATAAATCAAAAGGTAATCAGTATAAAAATGCATGAAGCAGTGATTATGTGGAAGAGTTTTAACATAACCCTATTAATAATTGATATACAATGGATCAAAAAAATAAGGAACAGCACAAGTAATAAGCTTGATAAAAAGAAAAAAATACATAGAAAATAAAAATTTGTACATATATTTAAGTTGTTGCCTTCAATAACTGGTGAATCCATATTCTTTTTAAGAACACAAAATGACTCATACTGGACCATAAAGTAATTTTCAAAGGAAGTGTTTTATATAGGTATCTTCTATAATCATAATACAAATATGTTGGAAAACACTAACAAGATAAGCTGAGAATTTTAACTCCTCTAGCAATTAGGAAAGAAACACATTTTTCATTATTTTGGATTTGTTATTAGTACTGTGCCTGTTTGCAGGACACAGGGATTCCATTTCCTGGGGAGTTGGCACGTGGACAGAACACATCTCAGTTCTGTTTTTCATTTTCTGTTCCCTCCGGCCTCCTTGCTCCTTCCAGCTCTTAGTCTCATTTCCATTTGCAAAAGCTCTATTTTTAACATTTTCCCCCTTTCAGTTCTTTTTTTGCATCCCTTTTGTTTCCTCTTCCATTTGAAAAAAGTCTCCTTTTTATTTATCTTTTATGTTGCTGTCTTTCTCTCTCATTTGAGTTTCTCATATAAGAGAGACTCTGAAATATTTAAGTTTGTGTGTTTGACTTAGTTCACTTAATATTGTGGTCTGAAGTTGCATCTGTTTACCTACAAATACCTCAAATTGATCTTTCTTTATGGCTGAGTAGTACTCCACTGTGTTTAAATACCACATTTTCTTTATCCATACATTTGTTGATGGATATTTAGGCTGCTTTCAAGATCTAGCTATTATGAATAGTGCTGTTATAAGCATAGGTATTCACGTATCCCTGTAATATGATGTGTTGAACTCTTTCAGGAAGATACCTAGAAGTGGAAGGGTTAGGTCAAATGGAATTTCCACTTACAGTTTTTTGAAGACTCTCCACACTGATTTCCATAGTGGTTCTACTAGTTTACGTTCCCACCAACAATGCAGAAGAGTTCATTTCTCCCCATATCCCTACCAGCATTCGTTATTATTTGATTTCTTAATGATAGCCATTCTTAACAATGATAGTATCTCAATGTTATTTTAATTTTCATTTTTCTAATAGCCAGTGATGTTGAACATATATGTATTTATTAGCCATTTGTACTTTTTCTTCTGAGAAGTGTCTGTTCATTTCGGTTGCCCATTTTTTGATTCGGTCTTTTATTTGAGGGGGTCTAATTTTTCTGAATTCTTCATATATTCTAGATGTCAGTACTTCTGTCCAAGGAATAGCTCACAAACTTTTTGCCATTCTCTAGGTTGTCTCTTCACTCTGTTGGTTGTTTCTTTTGCTGTGGAGAAACTTTATGTTTTTTTTTTGTTGTTGTTGTTTTTGTTTTTCTCCAGTACCGGGAACCGAACTCACGACCTTGCGCTTGCCAGGCAGGCGCTTTTGCCGCTGAGCTAAATCTCCAGCCCCCAGAAACTTTTTAATTTAATATCCTATTTGTTGATTCATGGTATTGTTTGCTGTGTCATTGGAATTCTGTTCAGCAAACCCTTACCTATACCTGTGTTTACCCATTTTATCTTCCAGCAGATTAAAGAAATATACTTTCATATAACTCAGATTCTTAGGTCAAATTTAGGTCAACTTAAGTCATGTAACTTAGGTCAAAGAAGAAAACTTACTAGAAATTAGAAAATATTTATAAATGAAATGAAAAAAATAGATATAAAAATTTGTAGAATGCAGGTAGCATGGTACTTAATTGGACATAACCCTCCACATTCATATTAAAGGAAAAATAAAATTTATGAGTTAAGTGTACAAGTTAAGCTGGCAAGGTAATATGAGGGAAAGCACAACAAAGAAGAAAGGAAGGAAAGAAAAAAATAAGAGCAGAAATTAATGACAGTAATTGGCAAGATTGAGTAAGAACAAAGGTAAGGTACAGATAACCAAAGTAAAGGATGGTGTGGTGGATTGACAACTGGTGATCAGCTTGTAATGCCCAGCTGAACTGAAGCAGCATGGTGCTGGGTGTGGAAGGCCCACCTGAGGATTGTTGCTGGCAGCATAAGAGGCAGAACTGGAGAAGAAAAGCTGTTGGGGAGCTGTTGGTGCCATTGGGAGCTGTTGGTTTTCCTGGAGGAGCTTATTATGCTGGCTTTCCTGATGAACTCGGCTGATCTCATCTTTGGATGAGCTTGGTACCTCACTGTTGCTGAAGATGACTGTGGTACTTTGTGGGCAAGCTCTGGTTCTTACTTTGAGCATTGCTTCCTGGCTCCAGTGCAGATCCTTCAGCCTCCTGGCACAGATCCTTGATCCCACTGGCTCAGACTTTCTAGCTTCCATCACTGACCTTTGGGCCTTCCCAGCTCAGGTCCTTGAAACAGGCCTGCATGAGACATTGTCGTGTGCTCTTGGCCTTTAGTTAGTTGGACTCATTGGGGGGCATTTTTATGGGCTCTAGGTCTTCAGCTGGACTCTTGCAGACATTACCGTGGGATCCAGGCCCTCCACTGGATTCTTTGGTCATTAGTGTGTGGACATATTTCCTGCACTCTCTTTGTGTATGACTCTTCGGGTGACTATTATAAATAATCTTATAATCTATGTGTCCTCTATATAATTGTTTCCCTTGCAAAACC